TAAAACCCAGTCAAGTGGCCGTTGTTCCAGCATTTTTTTTTTTTTTTTTGTTCTACGCAGCCGACCGATTGGAATAGTCTACAAAGGCTCTCGCGTGCGGGAATTACGCGTGCCTCCGCGATACTCGGACGCATTATTGTAAAATAATAATAATAATAGTATATCGTATACTAGTAGTACATGTACGACGAAAAGTTCACATGTAGGTTGCGACAATCAAAAAACAAAAAAAAAAATGCATGCACTCGACGCTCGTCGTATTGTAATACAATATTATTATATTGTATAATAATGTGTACACATTGTACAGTTCAACGGGCGGCGGCATGTATAAAGCGTCATCAGAATATAATAATAATAATAATAATATGTGTAGTATAGATTTGACATTTTCTAGTGGCGGCAGAGCACCCGCTTTTGAAGCCAACGAACGCCACCGTCACCTACGGTAATATTATATACATAATTATTATTTTATTACTTTGAGTGTGTATTACAACACGAGGCGGCCTTTATCGAAACATCGTGTCATGCGCCTTGTCCGATAGTATAATATATATTATTATTACTATTGTTTTCGAGTCAACCGACTCTCCACCTCGGGCTACGCTCTTCGAACACGATGACTCTCGCGCATTGTCAAAGTCCCAATTCTATTATAGGGTATTATCAGGAAATTAGAGCAGCCGCATTGCATGTGATATACAGATTGATTTGCTAAAACTGCTCATATTTTGTTCCATCTATTAATGAATTTATTCAAATTTTTATTTATGAAACATTTTTAAGGATTACATTTTTGAAATAATTAAATTTGTATACCATTTAAGGAGTGTTCTGTGGCAATAACAATTTTGTTGTTTCGAATGAGAATTGCCCTTTTTCTTGTAAATGGTTATTCACATGACTTTTTGAAAATGTTGACGTTCCAAAATCGAGCATCTTCCAAATTATTTAAGAATGGTGTGTAACTACCGATAAGAGGTCTATGATAATGCATTTTGGAAAATATGAGGACTTTAATGATTTGAAAATTTTGGCAATCAATATTTGTAAAAATTTCCGAGCTTATAAGTATTAGGTACAATATTACATCTGTTTTATATTTATGTCAATCTATATTGTAGGACTAAATTTCTTAGCATAATAGAATAGACTCGTATTAAAAACTCAGATACCTACTGCTCATATAAATTTTAGGTTCGATACATCAATATTTGCAATAATCATCGGTTTAATAATTTAGATTAAAAAAAAATAAATTTTTATTTGAAAAAAAGAATTTTATATTGCTATGCGATACTTCTAAATCGTGTACAAACAATATCTCAAATTAGAATTTCAATAAATTAATATTACGAGTGAAAATAATGGCGATTTGCACGCTTGGTGAATCACCCTGTATATCTAAACTCGATCAAATGATTGTCCACGGGTACCCAAATTTTGCGCAACACTCTCGAATAGTCGCGGGTCATTAATCATATAATATACACTCGTATATTATAATAATAATACATGTGTGGAGTATTTTATATTCGCCCAATTACCCGGTCGCGAATCTTGCTGCCATCACGCAAACCATTGCCGTATGATGAGACTTATGTGACGACTATTATTATTATATTATTTTCTGTATCGAGGACTCGTAGGGGCGCGTGTCACAAGAAAACCGATCATGTGCCGGCCGGTTAGATGCATTGTACACACTATAATATTATACTTTTTGATTCGAGAGCGATTCGGAGCGTTCCCCATCGGTCGAGTGCCGCGTATAGTGTGTGACATGTTATTACATTAATTATATACATAATATATTTCATATTTCATCCCCGTTTGAAAGTGTCGCTTTAATGAGTGCCTCCTTTCTTGCGTGTAACTAGTTAGCAGTCAGCATCACTCTCATCACGGCATACACTTATTGAATACTTTTTTTAATTGTACGATCTATGAATAAAAAATACTGTACTGTCAAAGATAAGGGACAGTAATATATTATAATAATATGTCATATTAATTAACAGTAATATAAGTTTGTTATACATAATATTATGATATGTGTATGACGGAAAAAAATATTGGCTAATGAGCTGTGAGGATAATAGATCGTCAATTGGCGTGTGTCGTCACGTGCATAATATATTCATGAGTACCTCTTATAAAACGTGTACGTGAATGATGATTATACCACAACAATTATTATTTTTGGGTAGGTACCTATAACTATCGACGTGATGCGATTGCAATCCGGAAATGAACACTGCGTCGTTTCAGCATACCTAATAATTGAGAGCGTAGTTTAAATTTACAAATTTGTTATATTTATAAAGTTAAACGCGCTTTATTAAAACCAGGAAGCGAAAGTTACAAAAACAAAAAAATAAATAATCGATAATTTCTGTTTATTAGTATAAAACTAAGAATATAATTTATTCATTTACCTTATTCAATATTGAAAAAAAAATTATATTAATAAATTAAAAATAAATAAAATACTTAAAATAATTTACACGTATGACATAAAGTACCTAAAAATAAATATAAATTTGCTTTGAAATGTTTACGTTAAATGATTAATTTACTTCACTATCTGTTTTGCGTGTGGTTAAATTTTAAATATTTTTATACGAGGATGTCACACCTAGATTATGTTGTCTTTGTCTTTCAAAATATTCACAATATCGCAAATTCAAGTTGAGTAGTTTTAATTTTATGTTAGCCATAACATAATTTTAATTTTAATATTTTACATACACATAGTTCACTTAAAAATTAAGCGTATATTTGGTACGTTTGTACGACGGAAAACATATACACTTGGTACGACGTCATCTTAACATGAATATCACGTAACCTGTCGGTAAGTCGATACGTATATTTATCAAATTAATACCACAACAACATTTTCTCACAAAAGTGTAATAATAAATATTGGTGATATATTTGTACTTGGCTCTTTGTCTTTGTATATATTAATTACAACAGTCCGAGATTAGGTTATAATTAATATTATGATATATCTATTATATTTTGATGTTCGCAGTACGACTATATAATGAGGGAACATATTTATGATAATGAAATTCGTTGGGTAATCGAAGTGTATCTATGTTAAAATTATAAAAATGTTCTATATTTTATATCTTAGGTGTTTGACAACACATTTTATTTTATGCGATTAGCAGTTTGTGCTCATCTAAATCTTAAACACTTATAAGTTATAACTCATCAACATTTTAGTTCTTATGTATCGAAATACTTCGAAAAGTTTTTGCTTAAATGTATAAAATTAAAAATATTTATTGCTGTTCAAAAAAATTAAAATAAATTAAAAAAAAAAAAAATTTGGCGATAAAAAACATTTAAAATTGTTAATTTAAAAAAATCTGTTATTTTATTTTATTTAGAAATTATATAAAAAAATATTTTTCAAAACTTCAATAGATTGTGAAATAAAGACAATTCTTCAATACAAAAATCACGCAGTTTATATATACGTATATATGAATATGATAATACATAACGTAAAATATATTTCGCTAGGGTATTATTATACGGAAACGTGAAGAAATGTTATTAAAAATAATAATAAGCGAGATGGATGCTCCAATAGCATAAAAAACGAGTGTAATAAAATTACAACAAAGCTTTTTTATAAGAAAAAAAAACTCGGTCAATAAAAAGTTACGACGTCTGCAGAAGATGTTTGATTTTTATATACACATAATACCTACGCGTATAATAGTATGTATATTTTTCATTATATTATACATATTACAATAATATAAAAGAAATTTGAAAAATAAAAATATAATAAGCTCAGACGAGATTGAAGATTGGTGACAAAACATTAAGGTAAATATCGTATAGAATTATTTTTTATGTAAATCATAATTTATTTGAAAAATCACTGGATCGTATAATGTAAATGGTAAATACTGTTAAGTTATATATACATAGAAATATAGTTGTATTCCAGCAATGAGATATTTAAAATACATTGTAATACTAACTGTTAAAAGTTAATCAATTTTTCGTAGAAAATATGCTCGTAGGTAGCTAAAATAGTTTCTTGATACAAATAATGTTAAATACGTATTTTCTCAAAAATTTAAAAAATGTTCATATCTAATTCTATCAAACCAGATCAAATTCCAAGAGATATGTGTGGTCAGTGTTAAGATCTATTTATATAAAAATTTTCTATTATGATCCCTAAATAAATTTAATTTAAATCGTCTTTAAATATAATATTATTTTTTGATGTATAAAATTTTACTCTTTTATTAATGATTCTATCAAAATACTATCAACCTTGTGCACTTTTTTTTCTTTATTTATTCAAGAGAAAAATAATTTCCAAATAATGAACGTCATAAAATTTACATTTTTTTTTTTTTAATGATTCATACATTGAGAAAAACAACTAAAAAATGTATTAAAAACGGTAAAATCGGAATTTTTTTCTTTTAAGATGCAATAGTCAAAATATTCTAATTTTATTTTATAATAAGAATCATTAATTCCATGAACCTGAGCCGTTTGACAGTATGGAAAAGACCATAATTTTTATCAAGTAATTCTGATTTTTGGAATAGATTCATTATTGTGAAGGAAAATAGTGGGGAGTGTGCTTGGCAAATTCTCTTGTACATAGGTATGTCATTATAATGATTTAAAATATGCAAACGAAAAAAAACTCGCTTGTATATGCATACATTATAATATTATGTTAGCCAATTACTCCGAAGTTGTCAGTAGATCACTATATGTATTGTGCATTAGATATTATATTATTCTTATGGTAATGTATATATATATACATGTAAATGGCGTTCATTATGACGTGCACCGCAAAGCTTTCGTATTCCACCTAACGTTTCCGTGGCAGTCGAGTCTTAGTCTGTTGTTCTGTGTAAACATACCTATTAAATATATTATAATATATTATGTACCGCACATATTAATAATATTTTTACATCACTACGATACATTTTTTTTTTTTTTTTTTTTTATATTTCTCTTGAAGTTATTTTTTCTTCCACTGTCTACGTCTCGTCGGTGCTCTTTCAAATACAGACGCATCACAGAGTTTGTTTGACCATCTAACGAGTCAAAACACACGCGAGTTTTCGAATATTAAACAGGTCTTTTTCGTCCATCTTCGCAATATGTCTGCAGTATAACTCATCGCAAAAATGTTTACGTGATTTTATTATTTGTTCGCTAATAAGTTACTATGAATACATTTACACGAGCTATTCTGAGAGGATTACATCACACCAATAACCACGTATAACAAGTCGAAACCCGCAATACGGGTTGGCCACTGAAGAATGTCGTTAGTCATATCGTTTTAAAAAATATCAGCTGAAATAAAAATTTTAAAATCAAGTGAAATCATAATTTTCTTCCGGACTAGAATTCAATATTGTTTAGGTAAGTGAAAAAATGTTATACCTTAATTAATTCACATATCGTACCGATTATATACCACGACAATACAACGGTTAATGTTAATTAAACGATTTATATATTCTTAATGAAATATAATATTGAGATTGTAGATTGAAATATTGCATTATACGATTACTTTTGTTACAAAGATACATTTCAGTATTTAAACTATATTTATTATGCTATATTCCTAAATGTTTCAAAATTTTCATTTTAGATTCGCAAAGTGTAGAAATAATAATTGTAAAATTAGTAGTGATAAATATTTTGTGTACTCAATGGTTACATTAAATTCGACATGCATATAAAATAGGATATTAAAATACATAGATCAAATATGCAAGTAAGCTGCAAGTATATATAATTTAAAGAAATGATTTATTATTTTTAGAAAGTTTATAATTTATGTATTTTACTACGTTATTATGACTATCTGAAAATAGTTATATCTTTACTATTTTTATCGTTATCGTTTTTACGTATATACTTCTTTTAATGACAATTTACGTTTTTAATTTAATATTCATTTTTCATGTTGGTATTTAATTCGAGCGTTATACCAACATTTTTTGAAGTATTTCACCCCATTTCATTCGTTAAAATTTCTAATTAATTAAAAATAATCAGCTATTGGTTTTAAATTCAGTTTTTGTATACTTATTTATTCATTTGTTTATGTATATGAAAATTCAGTTTATTTGTATGATGCACGGCAATATAGGTAATATTGTTTAAATAATTAGAATAATAAATAAATTAAAATAGATAAATTAATTGATATAATATGTAGATATATATTTATTAAAGTAGTGACAATAAAACAATAAGATCACTTAGTGATCGACTGTATTTTATCATTGTACCTCATTCATGAAGTAAAAAGTAAGTAGCGCAATCACAGCCAGAACCTTTTATGGACGGCTTTTTAATCAGGCTTCCAATCAATCGGGTATATATTAGATCCAGTTGTCTTTTTCAAAGACGTTCATTATCTTCTCCTCCGTGTATTTTTTTACGCCATACGGAATCTAGATTTAAAATAAAGCTATGAATATACCATTTGTAGTTGTTAATGACGTGGACTAATCTAGTTTTGCGCAATAAAATTTAAAAAACAATATTCTGCTTAAAAATATATAAAATTAAAATATATGTTGTCATTAGGAAAAACTAAAAAAAATATAAATATAACGATGAAAAATACACTTTTTCTAATTTATTCAGTATAAAGGTTTTATAACATGTAAAAAAAATTATTTCTAAAAACATTTATACTTTTTAATATTATAATGACGAGCGTTTACTATTAAAAATATAATCTCCCACTGGATTATTGTGTAAGTACCTATTACTCTATATTACATAATATAAATATTATATATTTTTTACTATCGAACGGTTTCGCACTCACGTGATGTATATCCTGTGGGAAATAAATCTCTAGCAGCTATTACTTCATCGTATTACTATATGTACGCTGCAGCATTTGGGTGCGTAAGTTACAACACGGCGATAAACTTCTCGAGACGACGTCCGTTTCGATTCTTTCGCGTCGGAAATTGTCGACTACCGCTGCAGTGGGTACCTACAGTGGGTAAACGATACTTAACGTTTTATATATGTGTCTACATATTATTATTACCTACTTATATTGTACAACATCATTAACAAACACGCGCGCGACCGTTTTGACTGCACATAATAATATAGGTACATTGTCGTCTGCGTCGTCTCTCCCCGAGTACTACACGGGTATAGGTAACGCGTTGTACTACATAATAGTCCCTTTGCCGTTTTACTGGTATTTAACGCGACGACGACATTGTCTAATTTTTATTTTTTTTTTTATTTTTTTTTACTGCCGGACGACGACGGCTAATGCACATTGTTTGCTGCGAGCGCGTTAAAACGGTTTCCGATTTTAGTACTAATGTTCCATTGTAGAGACGTGTACATAATATAATAATATCGTACAATATGATATAGCTGCCCATATAGGTGTATTATATATTTTATATTATATAGGTGCCCTCGACGTTATGTGGATAATGTCTAGTCGTAACGATCGGTTTTTACGCGTTATTATGTTATTATATTATATTATATTATTATATGTATGCCGCTATTAAATACGACCGGATTTTTATATTTTCGACTCCTCGTCGGCAGGGAGTCGACCGCCGCCGCCGCCGCCGCCACCGCCGCTGCCTTCTGACCGGAGATTTACGATCTCCTTTATTCGGACCTTATATATCCGTCAAAAATTATATAATAAAGCTTTTTAACGTTTGTAGATATACGATATATTATTATTATTATTATTATTATATATATATATATATTATAAGTGTTTCGTTTCGGTATTTCGTCGTAGTCGTTTTACTCTTCGCGCGACACCACCACGGACTATTACACATACTCACTCACACCATATATGTATGCGCGCGACGATGGTTATCAACTCCGACTACGTATTTTTTATTGGTCGTTACATGCCACAGCATTTTTTTTTTTTTTTTTTTTTTTTGTTGCTTTTTCCACCCAAACACTTCTTGCAGTCTGTCTCAAAAAGTTTATAATATACACGCGACTTTATATGGCATTGCTATAATATATAAATATATCGAAAAGCCGTACGCGCATTGATGATCTCGAATAGCGATAGGTGCATACATATAATATTATGTACAGGGTGCATACTTATAACCCTCTATTTCAACTTTGCTTTAAACTGTATTTTCGAACATTTTATATTTTTTGTATCATTTAATAAATGAACAGCTGTGATTGAAGAACTCCTATTTTTCAAATGAGAACGTATTTTCATTTAAAGTTTTTTAAAACCGTTATAAAAAAATATCTTGATCAAAATTCAAACGAGTAGTTTCTGAATTATTAATCATGCCATAGTTAGTATAATAGATTTGGAAATTATGGAGGCTGATTTAAAGAATCATAGTAATTAATAATTTATTATAATTTCTATCAGTCAACATTTTATAATTTGTAGAAAATTTTTCCAACAAGTAATTTAAAGTAAAAAATGATTTGTTTTTGAAAAATAGGATTTTACTTCGTCACCTGACACTCCTTAATAATATTACAAGATATGTAATTTTTTTGAAAATAATGTCTTTAAATTTAAGTATAAAAAATAAAATTTGAATAATGACATTATGAATGTTAAAAAAATTGGGGTGTTTAGGCTCTGTGAATCACCCTGTATATTTTATTTGTATTATATTGGTTGCTGAGCACTTGAGGTCATTACACACACGTTGTTATTACCAAACTCTTACACCAAATATAACATATAAACTATATAGCGCATATATGGTTTTACGACGAGTATCGCGACTAAGCCGTAAAATATCATTCCGCGTTCACGACGTATTCGATTCCCGCGCGAAACTCGACGTATAAAGAATATTATAAAAATCGAATTTTTATTACCGACCATTACACCAAGTGCATTACGCACAGACGATTAATATTAGGAAATATAAAAATTATATTGCAAAGACCAAAATAAAAGCGCGCACAATGCACATATACATACATAACATAGAATGTTCAACGTTTTTCGGATGTAAACGGTTGAAAAAAAACTAACATTTATCGGAACGTTTTTTGCATCGATACGCTACAATGCCGAAATACGATAATTTTGTGTAACACAATTTAATCTTGAAAAACAATTTTTTTTTTATGTAATACTACACTATACTAATCATTTTTTATTCTTTTTGCTTTGTAAAAATTTCACTGAGAAAATATATTGGAAATTGCAAAAATCAATATACTTACATATATTATAATATGAACAGATCTCGATGACTATTGACTGTTGTTGTCAATCGTTTGACTGTTATAGATACCCCAAGAAAAGTGCTCAGGGAAAAAGATTTTGTTTATATAAAAAAAAAAAAAAAAATAATAAGAATACAAACAAACATCCAAACTTATAAAAGATAAGTCAACATTAATATACGTTATCAAAGAGTTCTAGAAAATGTTTGAAACCGATTGTATAATATACGTAATTGGTGCATAACAGTTTATATGTATATGTTTACATATTGTATATTATATCCTATACCGATGTTTATTATTGGTAAACAGCGAAAAAATAGAATTCGCGCGCCACCGAAGGGAATACGTAAAATAAAGCGCACGCGACTCTCATTTCCTATTTTTATTTATTTTCTTTCAGAAATCGGTTTTCCATACAAAACACACAAAAATTAGTCAATCGTAAATAACAGTATAACCAAAATTGGATTACCTCCCTGCGTTTGACACTGCAAATATTTACTGCTCTCGGGACTCACCGCGGACGTACACAGCATAAGTTTTATTGGCCGCCGCGTGCGTGTTCGCCGTAAACAACTCAAATGCATTTTTCGCCACGCATGTCGTTTTCATGGTTCGATCGTCATGAACGCGCATAATACATAGTAATAATAATAAGATAGTTTTGCCGTTTAATCTTACCGAGCAGTATTTTATCGTTACATACAATAATAATATGTATATAACTATATAAGTACTTACATCGAATAACGAATAAAGTATATTGAATTAAGTGTAGTGTATATTTGTATATATGTATATAAATATATATATATTATGAACAGAAAGAGGTACATTTTTCAAAGAGGTTATAAAAAATAAATAATCTTAGGGTGCCCCTATGATTATTGGTGGTATCGCACGTGATATATTGTTTCAAAAAATTGCTTTAAGCGTCATGACAAAATAACGATTTCAATGAAAACAGATCTACCAGGTTTAGGTATAGTGTGATAATTATTTAAAAAGACATTTAATACAACGGGGGGAGTTATAAGCCTTTAAATTAATTACAAATCAGTATATTACCTTTCTTCTCCTGACAGCAACTTCTCTATTGATGTTGTAGTGAAGGTTCTGAGTATGTAGTAAGTTATCTGTAGTATATATTACATGATTACAATACTTTCTTTACTCAAATACACTCATTGACTTTATCATGATTTTTCAATACACGAATTATTTAACATATATTTAATTTTGACTATAAATAATTTTAACACTTACGTCTTCTTGTATATCCGATATACGTATTCTTTTACTCTCACTTATGATCGTTTATACGAAAAGACGGGAAGAACACTGTCCTTTGACTGGCCGTGACCGGCCTTTTTATAACTAATGTCTTGTATGTGTGTACGTGTGTACGTGTACTATCTATTGTTTTTATAATTTTATCTTATTTAACACTAACGACTTATAACTATCGGTTATCATAATCATTTTAAATTATTTTATTATATTATATTTAAATATTTAATTTTAATTATATATGATTGCTTTGACGCACATTATTACAGTAAGTACATGTAAATTATTATTTAGAATATTATGGCTGTATTCATATATGATATATAGTTGTTTAATCTAAACTATAAAGCATATTATACTTACCATTTTGTTATTATTATTTTAATTTTGATTCAAAAGTCGGTTAAACAACAAGTGTACGTTAATAGTGGTTAAAGGGTTAAGGCACCAAATAAATTTACGATAAAAATATTCCATTTAAATATATCATCAATATCACCTGTGTAATATGTATTTATATAATTTTAAATATTAATAATTCATATTGTGTAATATTATAAAATATTTTAACGAAAACGCTTATTTTTTTACGATAACTATACGGTGGTTGCTTGAAACTGTTAGTTTGTCAATTATTATGGAACCGTTGTGATTGAAAATATAATAACTTTTACTATTTTTTTAACTATACGTTTTTGGGCATCTGTCTAATCAAAGTATAATAAAACTATTTATTAATTAATATTAAAAATAGTAAATAAAAAAACCAAAAAAAGAAATGCGATCTAACAACTAACCGATTTATTATTTTAATAAATGTCGAGTATACTTTGTTGTTTAGTATATGTCACTATAATTGAAGATTTCAATTTTAATTTTATGATAGATCGTTCTAAATAATGATTTTATCAATAAAAATAATAATATAAAAAAAGGTTATATAGTGATTTAATTTAATTTTATCCGGCTATTTTGAATAATAAACTTTTTACGTACCAATAGTATTAATTGGGCATTAAATTCTCCAATTAACTACTATAAATTTTTATCGAAAAAGACGATCAAAGCGTTATTTTTTATAAGTAAAAATTATCTTAGTAACCATTTAAAAAAAATAAAGGTCACACATTAATGTAACGCCAATAAACACATCGCTCCGCTTATAACCTAAAAATATTTGATATTTGATTTAATATTATATACGTACAATGTATATAATAGGTACTACATATTATAGGTATATACTATTTTATATTTTTTGCATTTCCAAAATAATCGGTTTTGATAAATTAAAAAAAAAAAAAAAAACCATTGTACAATATATATTATAACAGCCGAAAAGTCTTAAAAATATAATGTTATAGATACTTTCTTAGCAATAATATACATAAATTATATTATATGTTGTTACTTATTACGAAGTAAGAATGAAATACCTACATAATTACCACTAAAGCACGTTCTGTTGATTAGTGCGCTTAACAGCATGCTTAGTATATTATACCGACGCAATAGAAGTCATTAATCACCAACAGGCATGGCTAAACTAAAAAAAAAAAAAAAAATTTAAAAGCGTTTGTCAGCGAAAACAACCAAAATAAGGAACGTAAACGCGTAATGCATAATATTATACCTTTACATAATAAACTTCCGACAGCAAAGGAAACACGATATACTGCTATAATATACATACAATTATTGTCGAAGACTTCAGAATAATATTGATTTTTTTCTATCAGCTTTCGCAATATGGTCAGAATAATATAAGTCCTTTTAAGTCAAAATATTTATTTTGGGTTCCATTGTATACGAGAACGCAGTAGACGTCGCTGGCGAGACAACAATAAATCATAATAATGTACAATGTGCGCGACTCGAAGATAAAACTGCCCTGCAAACGTTACGAAATATTTAACTTAACAGTTGTATAAATAATATGTCAGCTATATAAAAATATCATCACACCTATTCTAACAGTTATTTTAAGTATTGTGAACGAACGAAACGGTTTCTTTTATGAGTTTTATGAATACCCATTGGTGGTAGGCAGGACGGAACATCTCCTGTCACCTCCGGAAAAAAATGATATGAAACGTTCGTCGTGAACTTGTATAAAGACTGTTTTATTCAAGATAATAATGACTTAATGGTATCTACATATTAACATATTACTAAATTTGAAATGAAACATAGACATTTTCAGCCTTTGTTTAACGGTGTATCGAATAATACATTTGATTGTTTTGATTATATTATTTTTATTTTTATTAAACCTATTTATCATAATATATTTAGTTTTAATATGTGAATAGCACATGCATTAATTATAATTATGTATTTATCTGATAATACTAATAATATCATAATATTTACATTTATATATTGAAGTAATATTATATTTAGCTTACACTATAATAATTTTTAATTTGATCCCTCCCCTTTTAAAATTTTTCCCATAAGCACCCATAAGTTTTTTTTTTTTTAAATAGATCTATGAATACTTTATTACATTTATTTTTATTCGATTATTACGATTAGTCGAGAATTTTATTATTATTAGTTTTTGATTTTTTTTTTTAGACTTATAAATAATTCGATGAGTACATAATGTGCTGTACGTTTCATACATTTCAACAGCGTACTCGGTGATGAGGTGTGCGGTACAAAATCGTGTAATAAAGTGTTCGTCAACACAATGGTGGACACCAATAGAGATAACGATAACAATACAGCAGTGAGTATAATATAAATAATAATAAAATATGTATATTAATAACAATGCGTTTGATACAATATACATATTAATTATTATTACTAGGGTTAGAAATAATATGTACCTATGATCTTATATAAAAACGCTAAAAAAATGTATCGCAAATAATATTCCAAAAAAACACATAAATTACATTATAAAGTTTGTTAGAAAAGTATTGCTTTGTCTATTGTGCATTTGAATATTAATATTTAAAAATCGCACGTTCACTAGATTTGTAACACTCATACAATTCTTTAAAGTATTTAATTCAATAAAAATGACTTTAAACGTATGTTTTGTTATAAATGGCTTTCTAATACATTTTCAATGACTACGGGTAATAGATGAATAAAATCATTTGTAAATGCGTGAAAGTCTAAAACATTATCATAACCTTAATTATTATTACACTTTACTAGCTAACCAAAAAAAAATGGATCTTTTGCATTGGGTATCGGGAGGTAGCGGGAGTAAAACAAAAATGCCATTATGAAAACAAATTTTATCCATATACACCATCCGCAGAGCAAAGGCATACTGAAACGGCGCATTTTTGTTCGAAACGATAAGCCGGCTCAGGCCACTTCAGCAAAACTTCAAGAAAGCGGTGACTGTTGTGTGGCGAATTCGTGTAAACGATACGTAACGTTCGACGAAATGATCACAGTTAAGAACGACAAGGACTTAGTGGTAAAAAAACCACTGAAGTTGGAACTTGTCATCGACAACTGGAAGTCGAACAGTGTGGAAACACACACCGAAAAAATTCGGCCTAATTCCGGGATTGTCAGACGTCTTGTCGACGAGTTCAACACTATTGAAGAAGTAAGTTAGCACATTATTAAGTCCAATATACCCATGCTGTTAGTATTATACATATGTATAGAACTGGTGGCAAACGAAATATTTGGCTAAAATAAGTTGAACATAATATTAATGTAATAAACATTTCCCTCATATCACTATAACTTTTCATTTAGTTGACACTTAATAATAGGTTTGTTATGGCACATTTATAATTATTTAATCTGATATAGAATGACAGAGTAGTTAAAAATAAGTGTACTTTTTATTGAAATGTAAACTTTTAAATGTCTCTACTGAACATTTTTTTAAATGCCACTTATCAAATCAACGTGTTATATCTGTATGGTTGTACATTATTATACAATATAGTATAAAATCTGATGTTTTTCTAGTTTATATTTTTATTCAATTGACCTGTCAAGTGATACTTAGTGCTTATTCATCGTTCACTTTAGTCTTTGTCACTAAATTACTTATTGTATATATATTTTTGCTGCGTCCCACAAAAGAAAAATTACGCTATAAATAACATTATTGCGCTGTGAACTGCACGAAACCAATAGGTTGAATTGATTATTCAGAAGAGTTTATTTTGATCATGAAATAATAAAATTGTTATTATTATAACGTTGTTTTTCGAAAAAAAAGTCCCATAAATTTAGTGATTTTAACATTTGTTTATATGCAGTGTATATTTACAAATCCGCTCTCAAATAGAAAGCTATTACGTTATTCGTCATATTCTCTAAAAAAAGTAAAATTTTTAAATTTCTTTGATTTCTTTATTTTCTTAAACTTACTTATGAATATAAAAATAGCATACGTTTGTGAATAAATACATATTGAAACAATGAATCTAATTAAAACACAGTTGAAATAAGTATATTATTAATTTTCTAATATTAAAATTTATAATATTATAATAAATTATCATCACAATAATATAGTTCTTTGTAAAGCTTAAAAGTTTTCAATACAATATTTAAGTGTTTATATAAGTTATACGTTACTATATTTTTTTGATTTGTTGTTATGTCTGATACAAATAATACAATTGCCTAAAATTATCAATGAAACATTTTTAAAGCAATGATTATTCGCAGAGTGGGATATAAATTACGGTTTTTAAAATAAAAATCTTAAAAATTGGAAAATGACCAAATATTATATTCTAATTTTGATATTAAACATAAATATAATTTTATATATTTTTATTGATAAATATGATACGAGTTAGATAATATTATACTCACTCCATCGACTAGACGTTTCTAATATTTTATTCTCTTTAAATTTAGTAATACATTCATTGGGTACATTTTCTAGTATTTTTTCATAATTATTTTTATATACATGACATATTATCTTATAATATTCTACTGTTTGATCCATTTCAATAAAAATAAGATGATGACACGGCGTCTTGTATAGGCTATTTAGCTACAGAACGATTTTGGTATTTTGTTCTTGTACCTAATATTGTAGTAATTTTACATAACATTGATATGTTTATTTTGTTATCGCCCAAATTGTAAACAATGAGGTGACAAAAAACTAGATTTTCAAAATAATTATTCATTATTATTATTTATTATACGGATTCACATGTAAATCACACGGATTACATTTTTTACCACTAAGTGGCAGTACCTACGTCCTACATGTCTATAATGACGTAATAAACATAACTTAAAATAATAACCATTTCACTAGTTATCATTTAAATGATGATGTTATTTTAAAAATTAGAATCAAAACATAATGTACTAAATAATTCATCAACTTAAAGTTCATTATTTTTAAACTTTTAATAATACATTAATTTAAATTTTGTTTTTTTTTTTTTAAGATTTAAGTACATTAGTTATCTAAAAACTAAATTTTAAAACACTTAAACTAATATTAATCATTACTAACATTTTTAAATCATCATAGTCTGTTATCTTTTACATGCAACAATTAAGGTGAAACATATTAAGAAATAATTCGATGTATGAATATAAAAAAAAAAAATACAGTTTAAAATATATAATATAAATGTTGGTTTTTATTGCCACAAAATATTTTTTTGAATGGCCTGAAAATTAAATAGTCTTAAAAATGATCCATAGGTATACTTATAAAATCTAAAAACTAGAATTTAAATAAAATGTACTACTATAGAAAAACTAGAGAATAAATATGCTTAATGAATCTTAGTATAAAATGATATATTATTTTCATTTTTTGTATTTAACATTTTTGATCTCGGTGAGCCTATAAATTTACTGACGCTTTGTTTAATTTATATTCTCAGCCGTTAACCGATAGTTCCAAAATCGAATCTACGTCGATTAAGGAAGATAAAGTTAAGGAAGACCAGCCAGTGAAAAGCTGTACAAATATCTCGCTCTGCGAAGTCTTGAGAACGGTCAACTTAACCACTGACGACCAGTAAACGGAAAATGCTGTTTTCTATTGAACATATATTTCTGACATTACTAGTCTTGACAAAATAAACGTCTACAAAGTGCATTTATTAACGCCTTTATCTAATGAAATATGTTGAACAGGAATATAATAACATACCGTTATATGTAGGTTTCTTTCTACGATCGGTCTCTAAACATTATATAGCTAATGAATGTAATATTTCATTCTTATATCATTTTTGTAACGGGTGTATTATTTATGCATGAATATATATATTTTTTTTATTTTGTAGAAAGCGTCATCATCAAAGTTGATTAACGGTAAACCTTTGCTACACGGTCGATCCCAATGCTCTGGCAGAGTAAACGATCTAATTAATATGTTCAATTTGAAATCAACCAACAACAATATAGAAGAATTTGAGATTAAATTCATCGATTTTTGACAGTATTAAAAAAAAAAAAACATATTATAATAATACCTAACACTATTTGATGTAAATATAATTTTGTGAATGTCATTTGCATCAATTTTTCTCACCCACACCCACACCAAACTAAACAATCTAAATGTGAATTTTTTTTTATAAATGGTTACAATAGTTTTTAGAATTTTACCTTTTTCTGGTTAATAGTTGTTATGACTTTCTTCGAAATAATAATATAATAATATTATCATTAGATTTGTTATGTTAGAGCGACAATTTTTCTAATATTTTTTTTAATGTTTTAATCAAATCGTAACAATTGGTAGACATGCATAATTTCACAGAATTGATGTATTAATAAATTATTCATGTCCAATTTATTTCAATATTTTAACACATAAAATCAGATCACAGAGTATAATTTTATTGTGGCCGTAAAGTATTTTTTGTTTCACTTGTGTCTATTGATATAAATATGTTCATTGTTCAACGTCCTTTTAAATAACGGTTGACGCCGTTAAACCATTAAACCTATTGTTTAATTTTGAAAATTGAAAATTGTGAACTAATAAAAAACTGTGTTTAAAATCGAAAACATAGATACATATGTATTATTTGTATTTCATGAAAGTTGTTAAAGTGTATACCTATTATAAGAGATATTCATGTTGAAATTATTGTACTAAAAAAGAAAAAACAAATGCAATAAAATAAGTTTCATGTGAATATTAATTTTATTTCTATTTTCCACTATGTCCTATGGAGAAAACAGTGTAATTTAATAAACACGAATGGTATGATATAATAACTGTTTTAACTTTCATATTCCGGTGAAATACGAATGATTTTTAAAATATTAATATGAATTTCGATTTTCATGCGTATAATTGACAAAAAAAAAAAATTTAATTGACAAAAATTTACTGAAACACTAACGTACTAACGTGATTAGTACCGTTATACGGCCGGTAAATGAAAGTAAATAAATATTTAATGAAAAATTCACAAAAATAAAGAAATCAGATAAAAAATAAAATAAACGATCATTTTTTATTTATATCGATCGGTTTACTACAATTCAGATATGATTTTAAGGGAATATTCCATTTATTTATTCTCTGAATTAAAAAAAAAAGTTCATTCAATAAGCTTTACGTCAATAGTTTGTATGAAATTATAATCTGACTTTTTCATCGTGATAATAATTATTGTCATATACAAACGCACAATAATCATTGTACAGAATGTTTAATAAGTTTGGAAACAGACATTAAATTAATTGTGACTGATAAACAATAGTATGGTATAATGAATGTGGTTATTACACATTTTACATTATAAATAATGCACAAGTAATGTTATCTGTTATTTGTTCGTGTAGAAATTAAAATATGCATACAGTAACTAAGAGTTTTCAAAGTTATTGAACATCTGGTATAGATATATATATATGTATAAATTGCAATATAATTTAGTGCAATTTGTTAAAGATAGCTAATTTTTAGTTTAAGATGATAAATTTACATGATATTTGTATTATCATAACGTATAATTATTAAAAAAATATATATATAACATTATAATAACATAAAATTTTGAGCGTATTGATGAATGTATTAATTTTACAATGATGTAATCATCTTTATTTTGTTTTTTATTTGTTCTGAAGACACTATATTAATAGATCAAATGTTTTCACGGAAATTTATTGTAGCAAATTATTTTCAGTTTGTAATTTCGGGAAGTACAATTTAAAGTTCTCAGAAAAATTATAATGATGTGCTTCCAAGCAATCATAATTAAATATTTATATAATAAAATAAATAATTATGACCTTTAGCTATAAGTCATCTATTAATATAACCATGTTAGACAAAAATTAAATATTACAATATAATAAAATGATCTATAGTCAGATTATAAGAACAATAGATAAAACACACACACATATAATATATTAATTATAAAAAAGTCGGTCATCGCTGGTCACACTCACAGTATCCTTATGTCTCTTTGTATAGACGATCACAAGCGAGAGTAAAAGACTACGCAGATCGTATATACAAAGAGACATAAGCATTGAAGAAACAGTAAAAATTAAATATATATCCTGTATTAAAAGTTTTATAATAAAGTTAATGAGTTTCATCAAATAAAATAAGTGTTGTAAATTCTTAAACGCATACCGGTTACCTTCAAGACGTCAATCGAGAAAACATTGTTAAAAAGAAGAAAAAGGTAACATACCATACATAATATAATAATATATATATATATATATAAAAGCCTTTTTAGATTCATTACAAAATTTTAAACAATGAATAAAAATTAAAAAAGTAAGAATATTTGTCAAAATTTTAATACTATTATTAAAATAATGGTTTGGTAATCTTAGTTACCAAAAAATTGAACCATTTTCGCTCAAAATCATTTTTCACGGTGTATAATAATTGTTATCACTTATCATTGAATTACAATTGAGCTCATCTTTTAACAGAGCGTTTACCGAATGACAAGATACAGCCAACTTCTATATTCATGATTATTGTTTGATAATTTTTTTAACATCAATACAAATAAGGTACGTTATATAATATTAGTTAAACTGTTTTTTTTTTTTTTTTTTAAGGCCATCGAAGGAGGCAGTAATGTATTTGTCAACAAAAATCCTCAAATGATCAATTTTACTGATACTAATTTCATACGATCAACTGACTGGACTTGCGTCGATCAAGTTTATTATGTACTTCGTATCCGAACGCTGTTGACCAATATTTCGACTTTTGAAAACATCACCATGACGACAATTTTAATATTAACAACGCCATTACATTGTACATTGTAATGTATATCTCTGTATGTCGTCGTCGGCGGTCGTTAAAACCAATACACACACACACATTTATATATATATATATGCATCGAACTCGTCACATTGTACATACGTAATATATACATAACAGTATTATGTTATATTATATAGGTGTCCGTTTCTCTTATAATATTTTATTAGTCATGCGCGCGTGTATATTAACGACCAAAACAGTTAAAACGTCGTCTAGCGATACATACGCGTCGTGCATAATATACATAATATAATATAATAATATTATATTATAGGTTTAATGTGGCGGCGGCCTTTGCGCGCGTAAATATTATACAGACCACTGTCGAAGGTTATAATATATTAATGTGCACGACCATATAATATGGTACGTCGTATATACATCATACCTAACCTACGTACGCCATGTCCTATATACATGTACATATTATATACATGTATACAATATTATACTTATTTAATATTCGTGCGGTGTTTCATGTGTATATTATGGTTATATTTGACGGACGCGTTTTACTCTCACACAAACGTGATATTTTGTACATATATATCACGGTTACGACCAATGTCCGTGTATGCAGTATACTTAAATACGCATCTATATATACATACATATAACTAACGCGAATAGTATGTGTATGTGCGTGTCGCAGGATAATGACGTTATCCTGGTGTGTGCATCATCATTCGCTGCAGTATAATATATATATATATTATATAGGGGCTGGTCTATCATATTTCAACGTCGAGCGCTGGTTATGTGCGATATTATTTACATATACATACTATTATATATATATATATATAAAGTGTATAATATAGATAGGTACTTGGTGGATAGGACGAAATAGGATATATATAGTCCCACAGGCTGTTTCGGCTAATTAATAATAAAACCGAGCTGACGGCGGCGTTATACAATGCGCTCGGGATTGGATTAGTAATCCGAGGCTGAAACGAACGATTTTAAATCGGACGACTCGTTAATTCGATGACGATACGACCGATATCACATCACGGGTGTGTATTATAGGAATATAATATGTATAGTGTATAAATTAATTGAAGCAACTAGATAATATATATATATATATAAATATGTATGAGCAATCAATGTCTGATCCATGTGGCTGGAGGTTTCGCACCCCCTCCCTCTAAACCATCACCTTTTGTGTATATTTACAAAAATTATCAACACATTATATCACTTATTTTGGAAATGAGTAATAATAGTTACCATACATCTACTGTTATTGGAATGAAAATAGTTAAAATGGTTTGAATTTAGTTGTGTTAACGGTAACATTCATTTTAACAAAATACAATTTGTACTTACGATTTATATTATCCACACAGTTGCAAAATTTAATTAGCATACCTTATATTATTGTATTATAAAACAAAATTTGAAGATAATATATAGCATACTTAGTACTCAATTATTTTCCACGTGATATAATGTATATACGTAGTTTTTACACTATTGAGCATTATTATAACGTATATGAATCATGTTTTTTAAAAAAAATATTTTATTTTAATTATTTAAAATAAATACTATAGATTTATTATAGATTATTATATTGCCAAAATAAAAATATGATTAAAATCGTATGTGCATATATTCTGTCTAGACATTTAAGAAAGGTAGGTATGCAAAGAATTCGATGAAATAAAGTTCTTTAAATGAGAAACTCTTAAAACCTTTTAGTTACGCCGATGTCAGATACAATTTTGAAACGATGAATTATAATTATCATGTAAATATATAATTCAAGATCATAATTATAAGAGTTATAGTTCGTTTATACATTGACTTCGGATATTTTTCAGCAGCTGGATACCTACAATGTATATAACTTGTTAGTGCTTAATAATTTCGTGACAGAAATCAATCGCATATGTACCAAACGCAATAAATTAATATTTTTGTAATAAAATGTATAATAAGAGTATGTGTATATTAATTTTATCACGCGCAAAAATAATGCCTATATTGTATTATTATATTTTAGTGGAGTATATGTAGTGCATGTTATAATATATATAATATATATATATACTATGCGTTTTTGCTTTTTAATACGTCCGACCCCATTAA